TGTACTCGTGAGACTTTGCTGAGCACAAATATGAGTTTTAGAGCAGTGAAACATATGCTGATATCACTGCAAGGGCAGTTTTTGTGTGAAAAACGCAAAAAACTAATATGAACTCTAACTTTGTCCAGGGTTTGTGACTAAGTGGCTATTAAAGGGACACTATAGTCACCCAGAACACTTCAGCTCAATGAAGTGGTCTGAGTGCTAGATCCCTCAAGTTTTAACCCTTCAGATGCAAACATAGCAGTTTCAGAGAAACTGCTATGTTTACATTTGGGGTTAATCCAGCCTCTAGTGGCGGTGTTCCGGACAGCCAATAGAGGCGCATTTGCGACGCTGGAAGCATATTATGCCTCCATCGCGCAGAGCATCCATAGGAAAGCTTTGAGAAATGCTTTCCTATGGACACTTTGAATGTGCGTGCGGCACTTGCCGCGCATGCGCATTTGGCTCCGCTGACGCCAGCAGAGGGAGCTGCTGTCGGTGGGGGAAGAGAGGTCACCAGTGCCGAGGGAGCCCAGCGCTGGATTAAGGTAAACTGCTGAAGGGGTTTTAGCCCCTTCAGCGCCACGGGAGGGGGACCCTGAGAGTGGGGTCACCCTATCAGGGCACCATAGTGTCAGGAAAACCGCTTTGTTTTCCTGACACTATAGTGATCCTTTAAAAAAGACTGGACATACCCTGAATGAAAATCCTGGCTTGTCTACTTTTGTAAATGCTATGCCATGATGGGGTTAATTCTCATTAATGGGGTGCCATATGGTCTCAAAGGCAACATTGACCCCTCAAGCCAATCTGACAAATTTTTGTGTAACAACTGAAATGGGCAAACTCTTTATTTGACTCTGTAACTTTAAAAAAATCTAAAAACATGGGCAGGCAATGTTGGGTTCAGAACATCAGCTGATGTTGTCACCCTATAACTACCACTGTCTTTGCTGCTCATGCGAATGCTTCTGCATTAGCCAGAATAGCAAAAGGGTGCTTGGGGGCATAAAATCTGTGGTTTGAGTCAATCTTTCAAAATTAGTATGGCATTGGCAATTTTTTTTACAAATCAAGATTTTAATTGAGGTAAGTGCAAAGAAATCAATTGCAGTGTAAATGAAACTCACATGTCCCAGAGAGCATATCAGTTGGGCCTTGCTATGCGAATAAGAAATAGATCAAATTTTTACTTACCGTAAATTAATTTTTTTCCTGAAGATTAGATGCAGTGCATTACAACAGGGATTTCTAATCTAGAGAGAAAAAAAGGCAGGCAAACCCCTCAATTTCTTTTAGGAACTACCCCCCAATGCCCTTTAGCACTATAAAGCGCCTTTAACACAACAGTTCCAAAGAAAATACAAAAGCCGGATCACTGCAAAAATAATTTATTAGAAAAAGGAGGGAAGTGTGCACTGCCTCTAATCCCTAAGGGTGGGACTCATATAACCACTGCTTGCAACACCTTGCGCCCAAAAGAAGCTTCTTCCGAGGCCGGTATGTCTAATTTGTAATGCTTTGAAAACGTGTTAAAGGACCACTATAGTGCCAGGAAATCAAACTCGTTTTCCTGGCTCTATAGGATCTTTAGTTCCCCCCACCCTCTGGGTCCCCCTCCCGCCAGGCTCTAGGGGGAGGAAGTGGTTAATCACTTACATTTCTCCAGCGCCGGGCTCCCTCGGCACTGGGGACTCTCCTCCTTCTTCCGACGCCATCTGCTGAATGCGCGGCAAGAGCCGCGCGCGCAGTCAGTCCAAAGGAAAGCATTTCTCAATGCTTTCCTATGGACACCGGCGTCTTCTCACTATGAAAATCACAGTGAGAAGCGCGGAAGCGCCTCTAGCGGCTGTCAATGAGACAGCCATAAAGACTGGATTAACCCTAATTTCTCTGAAACTGCTATGTTTACAGCAGGCAGTGTTAACCCTAGATGAACCTTGCACCCAGACACTTCATTGAGCTGAAGTGGTCAGTGCCTATAGTGGTCCTTTAAGAGACTTCCAAGTAGCTGCAGTACATATTTGTGTCGGAGTAGTTGTGCACGGAGTAGTTGAGCTATGTAAACATAGCTCTCGTAGAACGCACTTTAAGAGATATAGGTGGAGTAACTTTAGATGCAGAATAAGCCAAGCGAATAGTGTCTTTCAACCATCTAGCCAGAGAACTCTTGGATGCCATCAAACCTTTTCTTGTAGTATGAAAGATGACAAACTGTCTGTTATACTTTCTAAATTACCTGGTACATTCAAAGTATTGAAGCAGAGATCTTTTAACGTCCACACAGTGATATTTTTCTTCTAAGGCATTAGAAAGGTTTTGGCAAAACACAGGTAGGATAATTTCTTGATTGAAATTAGACGTAGAACAAACTTTTGGTATAAAAGATGGATCCAGTTTTAAAACCACCTTGTCCTGATGGAAGATTAAAAAAGGATAAACTGAATTAATGGCTTGGAGCTCACCAAAATGCTTAGCAGAGGTAATAGCTACCAAAAACAAAGTCTTGAAAGATAGAATCTTGAGTGAAGTCTTATTCAGTGGTTCAAATGGAGATTAACACAAGGTTGAGATCCCATGGTGGAAACGTTTCCCTGATGGATGAAGCCACGCGGGACAAAGCTTTGAAAAATTTGGTAATTAAAATTGGTTGGTTTCTCTGAAGAAGTCTCATTCTGGCCGTTGCCCAATTTACTGCTGGAATTGAAGCTGTGAAAAGACCCTTCTTTCTTCGAGTTTCTGTATGTTTTTTTGTTTTTTTAAATTCTTTAATTTATTGTGCTGATGGTAACATAGATAACAATCAACTTTGCTTCGCCACGACAGCTGAAGCGAGCATTTCAATAACAAACATTTTCATGGCAGATCAAAACAGCACATTTTTACGTTATAAAGAGAACACATAAAAAAAAGACAGTAGATTAGATCGCAAGACCTTCTATGATGGTTAAGTTATGACGTACGGAGCTGCGGCTAAGAAGGTCTTAGACAGATTAATAAGATCGGTAAGTGGAGGTTGGAGACAGGAGTAAACTCCTAGGGATGCCCCAGGCCAGTAACCACTAGAGCTTGGGACAGTAATGCTATGCTATACAGGCTTCAGCAGAGGGGGTTAACTTTGAAAGAACAGGCAGCATGTCTAAAGATACATTCACTGAGCAGCTTTATGGTAGTCTTAAGGGAACAGTCGAGTAAGCCACCCTCTACTCTCCCTGAAACCACATACATTGGCTAAAGCATGCATGCTGACAATGAGCTGTACATGTATGTTTTAGGTGTGTCGTTTCGGGGAACTGTTGTTTCTGCTTCAAGTGGCAGTGGTGGGTGACTCGCTTTGGGTCTGCAGTCTAGTAGTCTCCAAAAGTCTTCACAGACTCTATTGAACCTGGCCTCAAAGCCCTCTCTCCAGGCCTGCAGACTCTCCTGGTGCTGTGGCTCGGCGGCCATCTTGGTTGTGGCATGCAGGCTTTGTTCCGGCCGGGTACTCCCCTGCTGTAAGTCTGAGGGTTTCTCCAACTGAGACCGGGATGACCCCCACTGGTCCAGAGGGGGGGATACGGGGTGTTGGCATGGTTACTGCTCGGCTCGGTTCCCGTGTCGGTTGATCAGCGGTTTCTCCCAGCCATCAGGCAGCCTGTCATGCTAGGCCTTAGGTGTGGAGTGTGGTGGATCTTGACAGAAAGGCACTTTTTTGGTATCCACGAGCTCCCATTCGATGCAGCAACGAGCTTCCGTTATATTGGTCTGTAAAAACCACTTTTATGGCGAGTTTTCGTTGCTTTTAAGCATAGCTGTGCCAGAACTCTCTCCAAGCACGTCTGGCCAGCTCGGCTGTCAGGTCCCGCCCCCCAGAGTTTCTGTATGTTTTGATATCTTCTGGTAGAAAAATCTTCATGCTGACTGAATCTATGAACAGACCTAGAAATTGAATCCTCCGATTTTTTGTAGTTTATAAGCCAACCGTGGCTTTTTTAACGATTCCAAAGCTACACTGAGGTCTTGATACAGCTGATCTTCTGAATGGGCTATTAAAAAACAGTCGTCTAGATAAGGGATCACAAAAATCCATCTCCTTTTAGGTCCACGGAGATGACTACCAGCGTTTTTGTAAAACCTCTTGGGGCAGACGACAGGCCAAAAGGTAGCACTCTGAATTGATAATAAGGGAACTGTTCTTGGCAGTTGATGACGAACCGTAGGAATCTCTTGCTTGTTTCTGTGATGGGAATATGCAAGCAAGCGTCCATTAAGTCCAGCGACATGAGTCAATTTCCAGGCTGGATTATGTGTGTGGCTGAATGTATTCTCTTTGTACGAAACTTCTTATTTATAATAAAACTGTTGACAGCCTGGAGATCAAAAATTGGTCTGAACGTACCGATTGATTTTGCGACCAGAAAGATTCTTGAATACATGCCCTGAAATATTTCTTCCAATGGAGTACTTTCTACAACTTTTTTTTATAAGAAGATTTGCCACCTCTTTTATAAGAGCATTCTCTGCTATCACCGAGTTGACCGTTGAACATAAAAATGTTCTTCTTGGGGCATCTGAAAGTTCTAAATGGTACCTGTGACGAAGTATCCTTTGCCACTTGTGCCTGGAGAGGACTAATTACCATGGTGTCGGTTGGAGTGCTTGGAGTCCTCGGCAAGCACTAGGAGCATCGATTGGCGGAGGTACTCGGTCGGAGTGCCAGTCGGTCCGTCACAGTACCCTTTTCTTATATTTGAAAGAACCCATCTGTCTGATGTAGTTTGATGCCATCTTTCCCAAAAGTGCATCAGTCTTCCTCCTACAGGAATGGCATCTTAAATGTCTATTCTTTCTGTCAGCGAATCTCTCTTTTCTTTTGTAATCAAAAACTTTCCTTTGTTGACCTTTGTAGGACTTCCTCCGAAAGGAATTTCTGTAAATGGAACAGTCTCTAAAAATGTTTTTTTTATTCAAATGCTTTTTCTTGGATTCTTCTGGCAAAGCTTTGTTTTGCCCTCAGTTATTTGTTTCAACAGCTCATCAAGTTTGGAACCAAATAGTCTGCCATTTTCAAAAGGAATTTTTAGATGCTGAATCCGGTGACCAATTTCTTAACCAGACTGCCCTTCTTGCCCCTGTGGCTTTAGCGTTTAATTTCAGGCTTTCTGTAGAAGAAGCAAACAAAAAATCCAATGCAATTTTAATGTTCTGAAGTAGTTGCACTGGATCTTCTTTGGATTCACTCGAATATATTTTTTCCTAAAGCATCTAACCAACTCTTCTGTGCCTTAGCCACTAATGTACCAGGAATTAGAGCTTTACACTGGGATGATGATGAAAAAAAATGCTTTCTTAAAAGATGCATCAATCCTTCTCTCCGTGGAATCTTTTAAACCACTAGAATCACCAATGGGTACTTTTTTTTTTTTTTTTATACACAATTGAGCTATAGATACATCTACTACAGGTATAGGCTCAAAACATTCTGGTTCCTCTTTGACAGAAAATAGCGATTTAAAATGACAGGAAAGGTTTCTTCCCAGGAAATTTCCATTCCCTTAATATTAGATCTTTTAAATGTGGATTGAACAGAAAAGCTTTCAATTTTTTCCTTTTAGAACTAAGTTGTTCCTGATCTCCCATCAGAGTCTGAACCTTTTTAATTAGTTTTCCTAAACATTCCTCTGGAAAACAATTTTTTTTGTCTGAAGAATCACTAGTCGTCTTCAACACAGCCTGCAAATGAGGAATCAGAGTTGCATCAGAATATTCCCAAGACCTCTGTCTTTTCGTGGCCTGAGCTTTTACAACTGAATCCTGAGACACTGAGGCCTGTGCAGACTGGAGTGCAGCAGACCACATATCAACAAAAGTCTGCTGTAAGTTTTGTTGGAACGCTGACATTTCTGATCTTTTTGGATTCATCCGAGGCTTAGTACAGCTAGTACAAATCTTTCTTTTATGGCCATTTGGCATGGGTTGGCAACAAGAGGCACAGATTAAATGCTTTGATTTGGAAGTGCATTACCCTTTCTCTGAAGGTCTCTCCGTAGCCTCAGGATTAGACATACTGTAGAGAAGAAAAGAAAAAATATTTTTTTTTAAAATTAAAATTATACCAGACAGAAGGCCATAAAATAAAAGCAAAAGGTCTTATCTTAATAGCCTCAGTGTGCTGTAGGGCAGGTGAGAACACACTGGCAACAGATTCTGAATGCACCTGGCAAACAGCTGCTGCTGGGTTAAATAGACTCCAAGGTCCTGGAAAACAAGAATTCGGGGGATCTTCCACCGCCAAGAACTCCCAGCTTGTGGGCCCATGTGCACCTTCGCATAACCCAGCACAGTATGGGCAGAATCTATAAGTATAGGTGGAACGCAGGCACCTGGCGTGCGTTCAACATGTCTAAGCCTGAAGCTCCCTCACCCGCCTGATGGGTAGCATGCGAAGCAGTGCCTCCCAATCCGCAGCTCCCTCAGCTTGCTTCTTACAAGAACTGGGGAACAGTTATGTTAAAGGCACTTTCTAATGCTAAAGGGAATTGGAGGGAGGTCCCTATAACCATCATCTAAGGTGGCTTACCCCCTTAGAAAGGACTAAAACTTTCCTTAGTTCCAGCTCTCCAAGCACTGTCCCAGCCCACGATCCAACTTTTTGGCTGATATCAGAATTTATGATCTCAGTCAATCAATTGGCTGAGATTGCCATGGAGGCAGGGCTAAACACCACCCTGGCCAATCAGCATCTCCTTAGAGATGCATTGAATCAAAACATGTCTATGCAACCATTGCACAGCGCTGCAAAATTTGTTGGCATATAAATAATGAGGAAAGTACAGTGCCTTCATGCAGAGCATGGAGACGCTGAACAGCACTGCCCAAGGCTACTGGAGGTGTCCCTAGGCTTTATTGTAATACTGCCTTTTCTATGACAAGACAATGTTTGCATTAAAAAGCCTGCAGGGACCGACTATACTCACCAGAACTATATTAAGCTGTAGTTTTGGTGACTAAAGCGTCCAGTAAGGAAATATACGATCTTTAGTATAACTACCTAAAAACCCCAAAATTGGGGGGGGTGGGGGGGTGGAGAAGAGTATATAAAATAAAATTCTAGTTTCAAAATAGGCTTATAGTGAGATACCCAGTCCATTAAGTCAGAATACATTTACATATATAAAGTTATAGGCATATAGTTTATCTAGCTCCTTAGGCCTCCCAGCATCCTGCAAAATCAAAACTTTCTGAGAAATGACACTTAATTCCAAACAGTGAGGCAAACTACAGTTAAAACTCTTTCGACCTCCATCCCTGTTCCTCCAAAACTTCCTCAGAAAGTATTATAGCTGTAACAAAAGAGGAAGGTACGTAGGAAATTAAGAAAAAAAAAAAAAACGACTACAAGAAGGTTGTTAGAATAGTGAAAAATATTTTAAGTGTGCACCTGATTCTTAATTTTGCTCCACATCCACAAATACCAAAAATAGCCACCACTGCTATGCATATTTTGCGCTATTCCCTATCAAGGATGCATGAATTGCATCCACTGCCTAAATATCTCCCACCCTGTCTCGCCATTTGCTTTACTTTCTGAGTTCTATCCAATCTCCAGAGGAATTCACCAGATTGTGGGCAACATACAATGGTAATGAGAAGTGTGGAATAGAGGGTGTCATCTCTCAATATTCAGCTTCGCAATAGTAGATGGGGCTATAACTGATCACCTGGCACCCCAACTGGGTACCTCCGTTCCAGAGATTTAACGGCACACACCAGTGACTGCGTTTGGCTGTATTAAAATGACCGCCGCCACGTGTTCGACTGTCTAAGGGTGGCCACTTCGACTGTATCCGAAGTGCCATCAAATGTACCCATTCTCTGCATAACAGTTAAAGGGCCAGAAACTTTTTTTGTTCTTAAGTGTAGGGCAATGTGGAGGATGGCAGAAAGGTAGAGGTTCCCAGGCAACAGGGTAGGACGTTGGTACACATCTTCTAGATCCACGAAAAAAAGGGGGAGGGGGAATCTGTTACAGGGGCAGAAACCCAGTTCTCTCACCACTTTTAACCAGATATGAATGTGTCTCACGGGTCCTTTGCCTGTTTTGTAAGCATTTGATATAAGTGAGTTTGTGCCATTCATATGTATGTCCAATTTAGCGGAATCTTGTTAAGGAGTTCTAGACAGGAGTGGATTTTATTTGATTTTCATAGTCGGGCTATTACTGTATTAGCTTGCTATCAATACTTAATACATCACTTTAAGATGTAGTTTAGCTGTATCTTGTAGTAGCATGAATAAAATACAAATCCCTGGATGTGGCCATGGTTCTATCACTGTCAAAGGCGACTGCAGTTTTATGTTTGACTTGTGAGGCCACTTACTTCACAGACTAGGGTCAGGTTCAGTGACACAGCTGCAAGTACCACACACAGCAGCCATTTTGACACTGAGCAATGAGACTGAAATAGTTAGCAGATCTAGTACAAGTTATTCCATGTTTTAAATGGTACAGCTTGCTACAATTTCAGTGCGTGCAAATACATGTATACACATCTTCATGTTTTAACTATATTATGAAATGATATTCGCAGTCATCAACATCACCCTGTAAGACCAATGTATTACCTTAAAGCAATATCCTATATTGTAATTTTTTTTATGAAAAAGTGAATATATTCAATACAGGGTACAGACATGCTATATGATGGTACCTATATTTCTGTTAATAGCCTGGCACTGTACAAGATGAAATTTGAACAATTGTGTTTTTTCGAAACAATAAAACAAAATTAACCATCCGTCCACCAAAAACAGAATGACCATTTGTTATAACAAAGATTTATTGACTGCACGGGCAGGTTTTACAAAGATTGCAATATATTTACATAAATATCTACAGACATGCCATGAACAGCTGGGCAGGTTGGTGTATCAGCATGCGCTCATCTATTAAACAAGAACTTGCTGTCTTCAAAGGCAGTCAAACAAGAGCTTTTTAGATGTTCAGATAAGTCATAAAAAGTAAGTTTACGAAGCTTCTTCATCTTCTATCTTGGGAGCTAGATAGTATTTCACATGACCCATATCTGCAATTTTGTATTCCACAACTGGAAAAGAAAGCATTAAAGAAACATTTATACACTCATAATATAACATGCATCCTGGGCTACTGTGCAGGTAACCTTTCTTTGCTTGTTTTGTATGCATTGGGGCTGATGTGCGCTATGGTCGTTGCTGCCGCCCAGTAGTGGGAGTTTGAGCGCAGGACTTATTTTTGCATATTTGTATTCACTTTTACATCATAGTCATGTTACAATGCTGCCAACCATCCCATGTGTTCCTATTAAGGGCTAATAAGTATGCAGAGGTTTAGAAAAATACCCGTCTCAGATTTCTTTGTCTGAAGCTCAATAAGCAAGGTGAATAGTTAGTGTAAGACCCACCTAAGAGGGTTTTCCTTGACATGGCAGGTGGGCTTACATCTAATTGCCACTGTAATTACTAAACCTTTTTAAAAAAAATATGCATAGGGAGTTTGGCTATGTGAAGGTAACTTTCTTTACACATTATGCCAAACTGCAATCTCACTGCAGAAAATGTTAATTCTGCTGGGCAAGACAGACTTCAGTGAATACTAGCCTAACAACCTACTTTTCTACTCTACCCATACCTCACTATACCCCACCCCTCTAGCATGTAAGTTCATTGAACTCCCTCTGTTCCTGTGTGTCCAGCTTGTCTGGTTACAAAGACATGTCTGTTAGTCCACCAATTGTATAGCACTGCGAAATTTGTTTGCGCTTTAATAATAATTGTTTAATCTAACACTTCTACAATTCGCTACTTAGGCAAGCAATCTTTCCCATGCAGATACTGACTGCAAGTAAGCAGTTATGTTGCCAGCACAGACGGCAAGCATTAAATATGCACATAATTAACATGAGACAGCCCAGTACGGTTCTGGGTTGCTTAAGTCACTTGAGCTGGGAGTGTAACTAGCCCCTGGCACACAAATAAAAAGAACTCCAACATAATATATACAGTTCAGACTACAAAAGAAACCCCAAACAGAATTTCACCACTTCCCTTGAATAGGACTAACACTTAGCCACTTAACAGAGTATTACTTACCAAGTGGGATATCTGCAGACATACTAAGTGTTACTGTTGGGGACAGGGGAGTAGCTTTGGTGAAGAAATTGAGGTATCTCAAGGCAAATGTAAGTTGGACTGGCTCATTCATCTCTATTGTGACCTAAATTGGAGATTAACAAATAAAAAGTCAATGTGTAGTCTTGAAAAGATTGAATAAAAGCACATAAGTATTCTTTACAGTACTGTTAAAATCATTTATCGACATATTGCTCTACAGGACAGGAGACTTCAGCTAAAATGTACATTAGTTCAGCCAAGATTTCCACCTGGACAAATGATATGCCGTGATAGCCGTCAAATCATGAATTGGTTTAGATAAGTCTCATTTGGTCCCCTTATGCAAGCTTGCTATATTTACAGGTACTAATTTAGAATTGGCTATGGAGGAAGGCATCGGTCTGCTTTAAACACTGCGCATACAAATTATTTTACACCCCTTGCGCACATGACTTAGGCATTCCAAAGGAAACCGACAAGAGAACTGCATGTTTTTGCAAGCTGTTACTCACAATGTAAAATGCATGCAAGTTTTTATTTGGGGTACAAATTCTAGAGTGTAATTTATTTTAAAATGTTTTATTATTTGGGTAGTGAAGTGTCTCTAAGGATACAAATCAAGGGATATACTGAACCCAAGAGATTTGGTACTCTTAAACATGAAAATCCCACATAAGAGTATTCTTCATTTTATGAATTTGCAAGAACTGCACTGGAAAAATAATGATTAATTCGTCCATTGTGCAAATCGGAGATTCAACTAAATTAAGTTATGTCTGAATAGCAACGGTTTTGAAAACAAATGTCCAAGTCTAATATTTACTCATTGTTCACTTACCGCTTCCTCTTCTTTATCCACATTGGAGGTCTGTGACAGCTTAACATTTCCAGTTCCAAGTTCTCCACTAGCAGAAAATTTTACTCCATCTTTAGCACATGAAATTACAACGGCATCACCAATCTGGCTAAGATCTCGGCAGATGCGTGCAAATTCCCCAGATGGCATCTTTATAACACAGCTGTACTCTTGCTCCTGTAGTAGGGAAAACCAGAAACAAAAATCACATTTAGAAAGTGTCCCCAGGGCTACCTCTGCCGTGATACAAATGAATGCTTCTCATAGAAGAGTACTGGAGACCCAATGTGCATGCACTGTGAGAACTATATACAATATAGATAAGTTGGCGCAAAGATATATAAAATAAAAAAGGTTAAACTAATATGCAGCACCCGCTATAGACCTTGGTAATAGAGTACAAGTAGTGGGAAAAACAGTCACTTCCGCTTTTCCAGTGTGCGCCGTGCAGACCTGACTGAGTCAGTGGAAGCGGAGGAAATTGTGTTTATTAAAAAATAATTTCCCTAAAGCAGACTGAGAAGCAGCTGTTAAACTATTCAAAATCATCAGTGCATATTTGCAGGTTATAAGTATATGCATATCTCTGCTTGTTATATGGGTTTTTATGGTGGGATAACACCAGTTCCACCGTGTATACACTTTAAAAGCACTTTATAATATATACGAACACTTTAGGTGTTTTTGCTAATTTTTTGCGCACCAGCACTTTTTTTATGCATTGTGAGAACTGCATGCATTCAAACTTCCCTACAGGAATCAATTGAATTGATGCTTTCCTATGGGGGCTTGCACATTAAGGGAGTGTCAGACTGACAGCCACTAGATGTTGACGTAAATCTGCAATGTAAACATTGAAGTTTAAAGGGGGGGGGGGACTGAATTTTTTTTTTACTTTGCAGGGTTAAAAGAACAGTGACACTGAACCCAAACCACTTCACTGAGATGAAGCAGCCTATGTGACTGAACAATGTCATTAACACTACCAGCAAATAAATAAATGAATTGACCAACTAATATGAATGTTTTTAAGAGGAAAGATGAAAATTTCACAAAACTTAAATTTTACCTTTTACAAGGAGGGACCAGAGACCTAAACACTTATCTGAGCACTATGGCGTTAAGAAAACATTTGTATTAACCCTTTATAGTTCCTTTAGAGAATACTTACAGGAATTCCCAACTGTTCCACATCCAGATCCATAAGCTTCATTTCATAGTCTGAAACTTTCTCTTGATCTAAAGGTAAAAAGATTTATATAGCTGAAAGTCTCCAAATTGAAACAAGGTATGAATACAAAGTACAAGCAGACAAGAGTTACTTACTTGAGGATTCAAAAACCATTGTGACCGTGTCTGCATTATCTTCAGCCCGGAGTGTAATTATGTCTTCACTTGCAGCACACTTCAAGATTTTTGACATACTGAAAAAATTGTAACAAGGTAATTTAAGATAAATGGGAAGTCAAAACAGCTGTCCATGGTTTCCAACATCTTTTTTTTTAGGGCCAAGTTATTATTCAATGAAAGATTTATAAGGAACAATTTAATTTTTGCTTTACCTTCATTGGCAACGTATGTCACGTTTGCCTGAATCCTTACAAGTTAGCTATGTAAACATAGCCAAATCTCAATGGTCCTTGTGATACTTAAACACATTTTAAAGCCTGATTTCAAACTAGCCAGAATACATGTTTGTGGAACACTTAGGTGGTAATGGGGCACATCACTACCATTGGCTTAAAGGACACAAAGTAAAAAAAAAAAAAAAGTAGTCTGTTTAAAGCAGAAACTGAGCTATTCAAGCAAATCGAACTAAAATCATGAACCATAACCAACACTTAGTGCACAACAGGGGTGCAAAATATACTTGCTATAAATGATTATTCGAAATGCACCTACATGTCTTTGAATTGTATTGGTATAAAAACAATGTCGATGTGTTAAATGCTTCCTATAATGAACGTATTCCGATAAATCAGTTCGTTAAATAAAACAGAAGTGATACACCCGGTTCTATTTTATTTATTAATTAGTTTTTGAATCACAAATATTAGAAGCACTTTAAAAGAGATCCAACATAAAGACATTTTAACTTCTTAAAAACCAAAACTGCCAAATAAAAGGCCAGCCCTGTGGGCTCCTATCTACACAGGATGCTGTGCACACTACATGTCGACTCGCAGCATCTTTCCCGCCAACGTGCTGTCTTTGTTAAAACTTGGCGCCCACGTGACGTCACTAAAAGGCGCGCAGAGATGGAAACCGCGCGCGAACGTCAACTTCAGACTAGTCCTGGCAAGTCCAATAGCAGCCATATATAGTGTATATCGGCAACGGAATATACAATCACACACACACACGTATTATGTATAGGGAGACAGGATCGAGCACATTGAGAACCTGCACTACATCTCCTATCATGCTCAGACAGAAGTTCTTTTGACAGAGCATCATGGGAAACGTAGTCTATGAGCAAATATCGTTTCACCATGACAGGTAGAAAATGCACGGCTGTCCACAGCCATAAGATATGTCTCACACCCCGGGCACCGCCAACCCACACCCCGGGCACCGCCAACCCACCCTCTACCCGCACCCCGGGCACCGCCAACCCACCCGCTACCCGCACACCCCGGGCACCGCCAACCCACCCTCTACCCGCACCCCGGGCACCGCCAACCCACCCTCTACCCGCACCCCGGGTACCGCCAACCCACCCGCTACCCACACCCCGGGCACCGCCAACCCACCTGCTCATCTTGACCCCGATGGACTGGTTGCGGTCGCAGCGGTAGGTGTCGAAGCCGTCCGAGCGGAGGGTGAGCTGCACCAGGGAGACGTGTGACGAGTCCATGCTCTGCAGGCTGATCCCGCTGGAGGTGATGTCCCAGCACGCCTCATCGATCAGGTCCTTCAGCGCCTCTAGCACCTTCTTCAGGATAGAGCCCTGCACTAAGCGAGCCTCGAACATGGCGGCTGCTGGGGTTACTAATAACGATCTGAGGAATCAAAAAAATAAACCGAGAGGGTGGTTTCCCGCCTGCGGTCCCGGTCACAGTCACAGTGCGAGCTCCGGCCTGCTTCTACTGGCGGCAAATAAGCCGAGCAGCGCCGCCTGTCTGCACCTTTATACAGGGAGAAGGACACGCCCCCAATCTGCAGCTCAGCCAATGGCAGGAGATCTGCTTCCCGCCTCTCAATCTGACTGAATGTACAGTGACTGACTGAGACATACACCGACTGACTGACTGAGACATACACCAACCGACTGACTGAGACATACACCAACCGACTGACTGAATGTACACTGACTGAGACATACACTGACTGACTGAGACATACACTGACTGACTGAGACATACACCGACTGACTGAGACATACACCGACTGACTGACTGAATGTACAGTGACTGAGACATACACCAACCGACTGACTGAATGTACAGTGACTGAGACATACACCAACCACTGACTGACTGAGACATACACCAACCACTGACTGAATGTACAGTGACTGAGACATACACCGACTGACTGTACAGTGACTGAGACATACACTGACTGACTGAGACATACACCAACTGACTGACTGCACAGTGACTGAGACATACACTGACTGAATGCACAGTGACTGAGACATACACCAAGTGACTGAGACATACACTGACTGACTGTACAGTGACTGAGACATACACCGACTGACTGACTGGGACAAACACCAACCGACTGACTGTACACTGACTGAGACATACACCGACTGACTGAATGTACAGTGACTGAGACATACACTGATTGACTGAGACATAACAGACTGAATGTACCCTGACTGATATTGTGGTGGACTGACTGAGAATGAAACATGGACTGACTGAATATACATTGACTGAGACATCCCCTAGAGGGGCAAAGGTTTAAAAATAATATCAGGAAGTATCATTTTACTGAGGGGGTAGTGGATGCATGGAATATCCTTCCAGCTAAATTGGTAGAGGTTAACACAGTGAAGGAGCTTAAACATACGTGCAATAGACATAAGGCTTTCCTAGCTATAAGATAAGGCCACGGACCTAATGAGTGTATTTAGAAAATTGGGCAGACTAGATGGGTCGAATGGTTCTTATCTGCTGTCACATTCTATGTTACACTGCTTGAGACATGCCCTGATTGATTGAATATACGCTTACTGACTGACAGTATTGTCTGTCTTGAGCGCTGCATACAGTGCATGTCAGTGTGGGGCCAATAAAACTGTCCCTAGCAGACAGAGGGAAGCCAAAGGTATCTTTTCCTTCCTGGTGTGTGCATGGATTTAACCCTGCTCACACTAGATTGCCATCAATGTGGACTGAAATAGCTAATTAAAGGGCAGCATACTGTGCTCGTTATGAGCCCTGCATGTAGAGCATTGGTAGTCTGGGGCCGCTAAAATCGCCCCAGATATTAATTGATACCTGGCACTCCCTGGTGTGAGCAGTGATGTATCACACCAAAATGTTATGACTTATCAATATAGCTTAACAGCTCTAAAGCCCAGGAAAGTTAGGACATACTGACACATCCTAATGTTATTAAGTGGTTAAAGGAGCTCTATAGCATTAGACATACAAACCTGTACTCCTAATTGTATAGTGTTCTCCTGCCTTTAGCTTCAGGTCCCCCCCCCTCCCAAAGCTAAATGGAAAAAGGGTTTTATTTTCCAGTTCCCAGGTCCTGTGCTTGCAACCACTTGATCTACCTGTGGTAACATCCCACCAACATTTCTTCTCATCCATCCAATACTCCTCATAGTAGAGCAGGGGTAGGCAACCTTTTAGTAGTACTGTGCCAAAACACAATCTTAAAGTCCCTTGGTGTGCCAGTCCTATTTTTTTTAAATTGAGGTGGGTATGTTGTCGTATTTTGCATGTGTTATTTATGGATACTGAAGTTGCTTTGTATTTGTGTGTATGTGGGTTGTTATATTGTATATGTTCATGAGTAGTTTGTGGTATTGTGTATTATACATTTGTTGTGTTTTGTGTTGGAGAGCTGTTTGTGAAATTGTGTGTGTGGATATGTCACATTGTGTGTTTGGTTGTGTGTGTATGTGTGGAGTTGCTGACCCCAGCAGTAGAGCATTGGGGATAAAAAAAACACATGACTGTTCTAATAGGGGAAGTGCCTCCATTGGATGTCAAAGAAAGAGCCACTACATATGTATTTAACCGTGCAATGAAACCATTGCTGAATCTACTAAATATCAGTGTTTTACATTGCAATGTTAAAATTAAAGCACCACTGGACACAGACCACTTTGTTGTGATGAAGTTGTCTGGGGTTCCCTTAGTGGTCCTGGGCGGGCGTGAGCCAGCGGTACCCCTGCGACTGGGTACCCACCATCACGATTTGTGGCCCCTGCCCGCGCGGCAAACCGCCGGGGCCACCGTCCAAGGAGTTCATCGGATGGCCCATGCTGTCAGGGCCACCCGATGGTTATGGATTGTAAGGGGGCCCGGTCGCGCTGTTAAAGCGCCCAGCGCTTACATCACACAGAGCTGGGAGGAACTGACTGCACGTCACTCCTCCCAGCTAACACACAGACCGCGCGGGAGGAAGCAGAGAGGGTCAGAGTGGGAACTCTGACTCCCATCCACCTGAGCCACCACTGGACCCCAGTGAATGTCACCCTCCTGCACCTAAAAGGTAGGAAACAGGAGGGTGACTAAAATATTTTGTGTGTGTTTGTTTGTTTGTATGTGTCTTTGTATGTATGTCTTGTGTATGTGTCTTTGTATGTATGTGTGTCTTATGTATGTATGTATTGTGTGTGTATGTGTCTGTCTGTATATATGTGTGTATGTATGTGTGTCTTGTCTTTGTATGTATGTGGTGTGTATGTGTCTTTGTATGTGTGTATGTGTCTTTGTGTGTCTGTATGTGTGTATTGTGTGTGTATGTATGTGTGCCTGTCTGTTATAGTGGGCTATAGTAAGTGGGCTACCTAGCTCAGCCTTCCTACTGGACATTGCTATAAGGAAGGTTAAAAAATAGAAAAAAGGAAAAAAAAAAAAGTGGGGAGGGGAATTGAGGAGGAAGAGGAGGGGAGCTGATGCACAGATGAGAAATCATATTATGAGCAAACAGAGAAGTCGTCTGAATATCACCGAAAGAGGAGACCTTTGTTTGTTCCTTACGAAAATCGAACCAGATATCAAATATTTAGTCTCGCAGCATCAACCTCAAGGATCTCATTAATCACTAGTAAAGCTAATGTCAATTTACTTTATTGTTTTCTCATTAAACTTTATAAAGTTAAAAACATTATAAACATGCATAAAGTAGAAATAAAAAGATAAATGTACGTACATTTATTTTTTTTAAAAAACACCCTCCTTTCTAAAAAATATTCTGCACTTGCGCGAAAACTGGTGGGCAGTAAGGAAATTTTTCCATCAAGAAAGATGCATGAGTGGACGGTAGGTAGAAAAAGGTTGACTACCACTGGGTTAGACAGAAGTTCTGTTTGGGGACATCTGCTGGCCAGTACAAATCATTGCATCAGAATATCACAACCCCTTTTACCAATACATTAGAAAGAATTCATTACTTGCAGACTTATTTTAATAGGCTCTAATATTAAAGCATCATATTTTGCACTAGAATAGTTTCTTTTCAAATATATTATACACATATATGCATAATTTTAATATACAAACAGCTAACTTATTCTGTTGCTCTGTGCAACTGCTAGATATTAAAACAATGCAGTAGAAATACGGTGTCATCAGAGCTTTCAAAAGCTTGATTAGAAGGGCAAAATTATGGAGTATGTAGGTAGCTGTGCAAAAAAGTGGTTTAGCTGAGACTACATGGTTGGATACCAAAGGAATGAGTTTGGCTTAACTTCTGTTGTTTGTGTGCATACAGCAGCAGTGCAGTAGGGATATTCAAATGGTATGGACAAGTAACCTTATGGAAAAACATTTAAGACACGTTAATCTGCTTTAGCAGCCACAAATCCTTGGAAGTACTGAGGCTCCCAAGCAGGATGGACGGATTTAGCATTTCTTAAATTTTAAGCTATGGTAGGATAGACATGGGTTTCTTCTATGGGCCATCCAGCTTTACAGCGTCTTCTTTATTTCCTGCACATGCAGGAAGGTGCTATTTGGTGGACTGAAGCCAATATAGGAGGTGGCCAATGGTGGAGCAGGCTTTGAACCTTAACACAGCAAGTGTAATGCTTGCCTGGGAGGTGATACATTTCACTAAATTCCAAATACACTACTGAGCATGTGCTAATGAGCATACTCAAATGGAACGCAGACTCCTGGTACCAAATTTGAATTGCCCAGGATATTTAAACAGCTGATATTCCCATTTAACAGCAAGGGTACTTGTCACAATATGGAGGTTGTGTTCACCAGACCCCACATGACTCTGATGCCTATTAAATGGCCCTGATCAAAAGTTTATATACCCTTGAATATTTAGCCTTGTTACAGACACACAAGGTGACACACACAGGTTAAAAGGGCAATTAACTTTGTTTTCCTACTACTAATTGGCTAATTAATCTACGATGTAAAGTAACCTATTTTATTTAGCAAGGACTGCTTTCTTTTTTTATTTATATTGTTAAAATTAGGTTCTGATTCAGACTGTCTGATTTACAAAAGCCTTTCATGTTTTTTTTTATCTCATTTTGGCAAATAAAAGTCTCTGAAAAATTAGATACTATTTTGCTGCTTAATTTGTAAGGAACAGGAGTGAATATGACACAGTTTGACTTTTCATAATTACCCCACAAAGACTTACCATTTGTTAAAGTAGACACTTCAGAGTATCTCACATGGTGTATACTGTGCCTGAGCATGCTGCTATTATTTCACCAATTCATGCCACAGTTTATGATTGAATTTCTTTTTACATATTAATTTCAGGTTTAACCTCACCTTAATCCTAACCCATACCCTTTATCTATGCCTAACTCTAATTATAACTTTAATGCTAATCTCAATTCTAACCCGTATAAATAGCTCTCTTGAACAGGTAAGTTTACTAACTTGTCAGCGTTGTCGCACCGATTGGGTGCGACCATGTGAAGCCACGAGCCAGGGGTCGTGACAGTACCCCCCACTC